ACCCCTTTTGGCTTACCTCGCCGACCACATTTTACCCGAAAAGTCACGTCTGAGAGACGATCCACTATGTCATATGGGCCTTCCCATGGAGAAGACAACTTAGGAGACTTCCCTTTGGTCTTTTACTTTTAAGAGTCGATTATATAAAAAGAAAATAGTAAACAATTTATCTGTTAAATGTCCAATGTATGTGGTATTACCAGTAATAGCTTTACCGCAAAGCAGTTATAGTCAGCCCGCTTACTGGAGGTTTGAAGAATATTGATTACCGAGTAAAATGCTCTCTTGACCCACAATCGTGTCACCAAGAAGAACATCTCGGACAACGATAATTTTACAAGTTTACAGACAAAAGTGTTTATTGACAAAAAACAAATACAGTTAAGATAATAGTTAAAACTAATAAAGTTGTAGTTAGCTCAAAACTAAATACATGTTTAAACAAAAGTTCCAATATTAATTAAACATTAGACTAAATTAACATGTTTAAACCACCTCTCTACATCAGTCAAGTAATTTAGTTCTTACTTGTCATAATACATTAGTATTAGGTCTATTTCATTGATAAACACTACATTATTAATCTATAGCCGTACACACCACAACAAATACTTTAATTCACGAAGTGAAACTAACAGTTAAAGTTTAAAATAATACAAAATCTATTCACTGTAGGTCCTTTAAGTTTAAGTTTAACAGTTTAAGAAAAGAAAGCAATGGTATAACTGTTACTATATTATTAAATCCATTACACTTCAAAAACCCTTTAAAATATGTACAATTCTAAAATTTCCTCTATCACCAAATGCAATAATGGCTTTAATACAAAAATTATACATACAAAGAGAGAATTACACACAAAACACGCCTCATATTCAAGAGCAACGTACACTGAAAGTTGAGCTTTACGACTTGACTCTTATCTGATTCGCCAACAAGAAAAATAACTTTTTATTTCTTGGTGTCATATGGTCTCCTTCCTGCATGAAAGTTGTTTAATTGTCAATTAGCAAACCTATATCTTGCACGCATTCGAAAAATGTTCAAATGTTCATTGAGTGAAAGTCGCATTTAAAGACTAAGTAATCTGAAAAATATACAATAATTTTAAAGAATTCCGTTTTAACTAATGGGTAGCTGGCACACAATACAGCCCTTTACTATAACTGTAACTTGCTTTTTCCGCATGAAACATCTACACAGTAAAAACAGATAGACAAGATATAGATTCAGTCTGCAATGTAAACATTACATTATAAGATACCAATACATAATAAAACACTTAATAGTCAAATTACCATTTTACAAATATAATAATATTGTTACGGCAGCGGGGGTCACGTGACGCTGGTAACACGTCATATTCTCGAAGGTTCGTGAA